CAAGTACAAGAGACCTCCCTAGGGTTGACAGTCACATGACAATCGCTAATCCGGCTGTTTCTTATTTTGCAGTTCCGACGTCACGCGCAGAAAATGGTAAGTGTAACGCGCCTGTGCACCAGGAATGAACAACCAGTTTGCACGGCGCCCGTTGGGCTCTTCCAATACGCAGCGAGGGCCGCATACCAAGTGATAATAATTACAGTTATTTGTCTTTAAATTTACTCTGACATTTATTATTACTAATGTAATGAAAGATATTAATACTCGTATAAAGTTTTGGGACTTATCTTTACCGTCGGTCCACTTTAGCGTTTAGTCTTCATCATTTTAATTTAAAAATATCTACACACACATGGGACCGCTTCTGTGGTCTAGTGGTCAGAGTCCTGGCTACGGATCCAGAGGTTCCGGGTTCGATTCCCGGCGCCACCACATTTTTCTGAGAATCAGTGGGTCTGGAACGGGGTCCACTCAGTCTCATGATGATAACTGAGGAGCTATTTCAAGGAAACAGCGGCTCCGGTCTAGAAAACCGAGATTAACGCCTGTGGGGATCCGTTGCGCTGACCTCGCGACACCATCTATCCGCAAAAGTTAGCACTAACCTCACCGACAAGCGGCGGTCAATCCGTGGGTATAGTTCGCTTGCGGACTATAGGCCACGGAGTTCCTTTGTACACACACATATAGTGCCTTATTATTATTATATACCACCGTTTAGAGGGTTGTTTCTGGAAATAAAAATAAGTTAAAAGTTCACAAGAATATGTACTCTGAGGGCCTTAGAAAACTACAGCAATTCTAATTTCTATTTCCATGGTGACGGTAGCGTAGTTGGTTGAGGCACTATGCTACAAGCTGGAAAGTCGCGGGTTCAAGTCCCGATGAGGTCATTGAATTTTTTTTCAATTGACCTAAACCTTCTAACCGCACTATGGCCCTGGGGTCGACTCAGCCTCTAACAGCAATGACTATCAAGTTCTTCCCTGGGGTAAAGCGCGGCCGGTACGTAAGGCTAACAACCTTGCCACCATCTATGAGCCGATTGTCTAGAGAATGTGGGAACCTCGACGTCTCACAAACCTATGGGCCTCCACGGCCTGTTACAGGGATAGCTTTACTTTTATTACTTTATGGTGACAAGTTAAATACTTCCCAAACTTAACAATTTACTTACAAGAAGGAAACGAACAAAAGTACTATTAATACCAGTTCATTTTATATACGTCATAGTGCTTAATTAATTACTAATTTACCTCGCCTTAATATACGAGATCTTCCAAATGGCATCCATGTTCACGGACACACAATTCAGTTCTGTGTTATAAAGAGGACCGCAGCCGTTCGAAAGTTTCGGGTGTGTTCTATATTTCACATTCAACTTGTTGAATTGGACGCCACAGTTCACCGCTGGTATCAACTGCTCTGGAATAGGCCTTGGCTTTTAAACATCCGACAAACAAATCGAGAAGACTGAAGTCAGGTGAGCGTGCAGGCCAGTGACGTACCTCAAGACTGCAATGTAGAGAAGCACCGTCATGCTGACACCGGATGTGGAGACGCGTCATTGCTGCCGCAGTGCATCCCCGCAGCTGTGCCACAGTGACGTCACAGTAGGAGGAGGAGCACCAGTGGACCACGTTGCGAGGACATGACCCAGGAATTGTGGTGTCACCCTCATAAGCCCGGTACCGCTGATCATGGCGGCTCTGAAACAGCAGGAACAGAAGACGAATCTTTAAGCCTCTTTATGGAGGCTTTTACATAAACTTTTGTCTCGCAAAAGGAACACGCGGTAGCGCAGTTGGTTGTCGCGGGGTACAGGGATAGCTTCACCTTTTCTTGTCTCTCAAAGGAATTATAGGTGATGACAGGAATGTAAGCGGAAGTAAGCGGAAAACTGTGAAGAAAACAAAGAGACATTACATAGTCACGTAAGTAGGCACGCGCGCAGTTGTCTGTACTGCAAGTCACAGTACATGACCTCATCTGCGTATGTCGCTGTTCGGACCATCTCAAGGCCTATCTCACGCCAATACGGAAGTACGGTCAAATGCCGCTGCTGTCGGGCCAGACGCTTATTACGTCAACTGACGCTACTGCCAACTTGTGACACGCAACAAGTGGACGTTCAGCCTCAGACGCATCACACACGTTGGTGGCTGTCACACTTGACGCATGCGTCCTACGTGTACACTTCGGCAATGGCAGTGTCAGGGTCATTCCACCCAACCGACAATGATTAATGGTCGTCTCTTCTTAATTCCGTTGTCTGTATGCTTCGCGTGCTCCTCAAGTAATATTCTGCTTGGGAGTCACTGAAACGGAACAAAATTCCTGATTGATACATAGAGGAGTCTTCATGAAGTTAGAAGTTCAGACGCTCCAGCAACAAGTACGTTAACGGCCTCTTGTGCGTTTTCTTTTCGCGTTCCAGAATCTTTCAGCTTATAAGATCTGGAACTTTGTAATGATGGTGTATTAATACAATTACTGTGTTTCTGGACATTATCCATAGTCCTGTTTTTATTTAGAACGCACAGTGTTTCGGAGACTGGATTCTGTCTTCTTCTTCAGGTAAAACCTTCTCAGTTGGGCCCAATCGATAGAGGTAGTCTTTATTTCACGACACCTACACAAACACATGATAGGGTATATAAACCAAGCGCACCATAATCCATCTGCGAGAGTTAATACAAACATTAAACCCATTAAAATAACTCGACACACATGCGACCTAGCACATATGTCCAATAACTATTTGACGGCTTTTGCTGTTAAAATCAGAGTACTTTCAGAACAGAAGTCATCACTGAAGAGACAAATTCTCTGCATGGTATCGACACATAAACACAGTTTCACCATATAATCTACACTGGACACGTATTTCAAAGTTATGGTTTCCCTCCCTGCAGCTTGGAAGCCCAGAGCGGAGCACATGTTCGCATTGGAGGGGCGAACTGTGGCAGGTTTCCCCAGCCTCGGACAACAGCAGCACACAGGCATTCACTACAAGGGCACCATGCGTGTGCAGAAGGACCCCACTGGCATCTTGCTGCTGAAGGTAACAACCGGACGCGTTAAACACAAACCAACTCCATCGCTTTTCTGTGTCCTGAGGTATCTAAACGCAATTCAAACCCTGACTACCCACAGGTCTCTGAGACGTAGGGCCTTCTACGCTCTTGTTAAAGGCCAATACCATTCCACTAACGATACCATGTGTTATCTGGTAGAAGGAGCGATATGAACGTAAGCTCTGTATCAACAGAATGAACTGAATTGTTTCTTAACATAGAAAATATGAGGAAAAGCACAAACAGAACATGATATAAATAAATAATACAAAAATAAATGAACAGGTTAAAGAAGGCCTGAGCAACAAATAATAATAAAGGTAAAGTTGTCCCTGTGCTTAACTAATTGATTACTATGCTATGATGGGATATGTGGAGTGGATGTATGTAAAAAGCTAGTAAGTATATTTTTTCTTCAGTGAGAAATTTGATGAATTACATGCCATATATGTAAATTTAGAAGGAAGCAAGCAGATGTGATTTCTTTCATAGTGTGACACTTTGCCTGCAACAAATGAAGAACATTAAGACATTTTTAATCACAGGCACTTCTTGTTGGGGCAGAATCGAAGCTGGGACCTCAAATATGCCAACCAGGGTATATACGTGTATTCCTCCACACTTTCAAGACATCTGACTTAAGACTGCTTTTTGTCAAAAAGAGTTTCAGCGAAGCAAAACCCGAAGGTTCCAATCCTCCCAACACGACCCCACGTCCCTGCACTTCTATAAGAGGAGAAAATCCTCGCTAATCCGGTTACAGTTAATTCGGATGTCGGATAGTCCGCAGGGAAATATGAAAAATGCTGTTCACGGTTGAGTACATGTTTCAAAAGACACGTGACATTCAGGAAGGCAGATGAGTCACTTGTCTGTTCAGGCAAATTTCTTAATACGCGCTAAAACAAGCACAACTTCTGAGTTTTCTATCAATGAATAAATGTATTGTCTTTTTATAGTTTTTAAATAAAGTCTCTGCAGTTATATTCTTATTTATTTTCATCATCACTACTTAAATTTTCCATTTATTTGTGGCTTCCTCTTGCTTAACCGGTTGACCTCTAGCCCTACAATTAATCCGGAATAGCGAGGGTTTGCTGTGAATGGAAACTGTTACAAGATAATATTCGCTCTATGTCTGAGGGTACCAGCAATGTGTGGGCTAAGTTCGTGATGTGTCTCAAAGTTCCAGAATATGACTTACACGAAGTTCCACGAGAACCTGCCGAGAGGATGGTGGTCGCACATGAACACCGCCCGGGAGGACTTCAGACAACTGCCGATCACAGGCTCCACAGTAGCCGTCAAATTGGGCCAGCACGGGGTAACTATGCTGACACAGCTCTTCATTAAGCAAATTGTGTTAATTCAATTGTGCTCGTTTCGATAATGATGTTGTTGATGATGATGATAATTATTATAAAGAAACATTTCTCTCTGATGTGGATCAAAATCGACGTTCCAGAATTTCCTTTTGAAAAAAGTTTCACGGCATTTCAATGCTTGTTTGCATCTGACCGTTTAACGACGTTACACGTTATCTATCTATCTATCTATCTACGGCTCTACAGCCCTTTGTTGGACCTTGGCCACTTTTCACTTCTTTCATCTTTTTACAAAATTGGTATGGCTCCTTGGACGGGGGATCAGCCGTCGGAAGGCCGCTACCCGCACACGAACATCCATATCTTGAGTGGGATTCGAAGCCACGAACCTAGTGTTCGAGCGGGCGAAGACGGTTCATATTCTAGACCGCGCGGCCGGACGCTGAGATCGGCTCTCGAGCAGCTACGTAGGCTACTTACGTTACGTCACGGGAGAGGAGAAAGTTCGGAACAAAATTTGTAGAGAGTGAACCACTTTTCTTCCGAAGTCTTGCTTTAGTCGAAGTAATTAACGGAGTGCACTTCATGGCCCGCATATTCAGCTATAACTGTGGCCGCAGAAGAGAAAAGAATAGAATAAGATTGGTCTTATTCTCTACTAAACTGCGACTTAGAAGAAAGTACTGTCACGTGATTGAGTGTGGCTATTGACGGGTTTCGGATTTATTGCACACTTTGATAGAGCGCGTGACTACGCTTTGCAGTTCACTGTTCTACACACACACTAATGTCCACAGTCATGACTTCACTGCCGTTGTTTGGTAGTGGCTTCCAACCGCGGACGTTCCCTTTCCTCTGAATTCCCGAACTCTCGCCCTACCTCAGCTACCAGCATCAACAGCTTACAACGACTGAACTGCAGCGGTTCTCTAACTAACGCACCAACAAAGTCACTCCACTCCACTAAAATCACTGACTCCTAACTTTTCTGCTTGCAACTTCTCGGGATGAACCGCCTGCTATTCTTGTTATATTCTCGTGTTGCCGTGGAAACACGTTTGTTTGCGGAGCAGTTACTTAGCAATGGCTGTTGTGTAATTGCTTATTTCGCAGTCGTTGCCTAGTAGCGGGTTTACATCTCAAAATGCTAGAAAATATATGGACATTTACTTAATTCTCGCCCATTACTCTAGTAATAGTGAACATGGAAGAATTTATACTAATTAAATACCCATTGAGTACACAGTTTAGTGTTATCGCCTTGCCGCAGTGCACCGTGGCATGTGAATTTATTTTTTGTTTATCAGAACTGAACAGTTCCTCCTACAGTTGGTTATTTAATTTATGACTGCTTCAACAGAAGCGCCTGTTCAGCATGCACTTTGTACCTGAGTGGTGCCTGAAAGTGCAAAATTTTCCCCCTTGGATCTCCACGAATCGACCCACTTTCTGAGGCTGTAAATGAATTTTATGTCATAGAACCCGGTTCAAGGTAAGTGTGATCGTCACGCCTGCGCAGAACTTGCGTCTTGAAAGCAGTATGGAAATTAACAGCTTTAAAATAAATGTCATTTTATCATTCATTCATAAACTGTCTTTGCGTTGGTTTGATGACCCATACCGACGGACCGGAAACTGACGCTACGTACTGAAGGACCAGTTGTTAGCTCTAACGCCTTTCTTCCGCTGGGTAAGGAGCAGGCTTAGAAATACTGCGATAAAATTGTTTCATATTGCGACAATTTATCAATTTTTGGATTAAAATATCTTGAATCTGAATATGAAAAGAATATGTCCAGCATTAACCATTTCCTGGACAGAGGGAACTGTGTTACATTTGGACGTTTGCCTTTATGCAGGTGGAGACGGTGTCACTGAAGGCCGGAATGGAGGACTGGGAAATGAATTTCATTCAAGGAATGGTGAACCAGTTGCAGATTGATTTCAGGCCTTCAAAACCGAGCAGCAGGAACACAAGAAACCAAATCAACACGGCCTACAGACTGATGGAGGTACGTGTTCACTCTCAGGCATACCGCTGCTTGCCCGTCCACTTCTGTCAATATCTCGTGCCCAAAATATCTCACACGAATATTACGTTGGCTCCTATATTTTCTGAGATAACGTACCGTTTCACACGTTAACTGTATTCAAGCCTTCAGATCATTAGGTTATCAGCATACTCAGGCAGAAATCGGCACTTATCGCCATGGCACTCAAAGGCGATTAGTCGCCAGCTTCTCGCCGCAGCGGACCAGGTTCGTTCCCAGGTCAGGTCATGTGGGATTTGTGGTGGACAAAGTGGCACTGCGGTAGGTTAACTCCGAGTACTTCGGTTTCCCCTGCCAATTCTCATTCCACCGCCTCTCCACATTCATCTATCATCCGCAGCTCGTACAATAGGCCAAATAGTGGCCATATACATATACAGGAATTACGTTAATCGTCACACAACAAATATACTCGCTTTTAATGTTTTACAATTCGACTTTTATTCCTGCTACATGTTTCGGCCGTACAAGACCATCGTCAGGCAGTTGCATATAGGAATACGTACAGCTATTGAACTGCCGATACCAGTGCCACGTGTCATGTTATATACGAACATAAATTTTGCCTCAAGCTGGCAAGTGTTACAAATAAAATAGAAGATAGTCAGCTCCAGTTACGAGTACGTGCCTCAAGGAAGGCGCACCACTAAACCAAACGGAGCCCCCCCCCAAAAAAAAACACCTAACACCACCCGAACAGAAAACTATCAAACTACATTTTAACAAACAGTGGCCGACGTAACAAGTGAACTCAGTCTCACCCCACCCCAAGAAATGAAAAAGAAAACGCCCTTACAAGCAGGCCGCAACACATGCCCTGCAGCGGACCGCTACAGCGTGCGATGCTCAGGAGCTGAACTAACGCGGTTCTCAGATCCCACTCGACGCGTGCGCACGCGCAAGTGGCGTGCCTGATCCTGTCAGGTTCACGTTCCGACAGCCTCTGCATGCCGACACTGAAGACTGACGGAGGCTGCGAGAAATGCATTTCGAGTCCGTTTAGCAGACCGACTGCCAGACAGCCAAGCAAATGCTTAGTGGGCTAGGAGGAAGTGTTTCGACTGGTACTTGCCTTATAGGCACATGTTTATTGATAATTCTCTGTTTTGGTGGTGATAGGTGTTTATTTGGGGGGGGGGCTGGGTTTACTTTAGTGGTGCGCCTTTCTTGAGGCACGACTTAGCGAATCTTTCTAACTGGAGCTGTTACTTCGCCAAGACACGACGCAAAAGGGGCGCTGAGAAGCAGACAGTTTTCCTTTTCAGAATTCTGTGTTCGGCCGATGCGAGGTTCTGTACGAAGTGACTCGAGTCCCGAGATCCGTGGCCCTGGCCCAGCCCGACCTGTTCCCGTCAGCACACAAATGCGACCATATGAACTTCATCGAGATATTCAAGACACGGAACTTCTCAAACTGTGAATACCGGGCAGAGTTGCATTTCGGGCTTCCCACGTCCAAGAAATGCCAGCCGGGGGGCAACGCGTGTCAAGATTTCTGGCACGTAAGTAGAAACAAGAAACAAGTTTTTGAAACTAAATTTTTCCAGAGTCTTTACAGAGGAAGTTAATTCAGCGGTAATAATTCTGTGTATTCTGTTTGAACCAGAACGATTGTTCTCGTAGTCTTCCTCAGGACACCAGTAAACATGACTCCATCCTTTCTTAATTACGTCCATTTCATTCGACGTTGCGGAATCACTCAATTGCCTTCTTGTTTCAAAACACTTCGAGTTCCGCTTGTGCAAATGGCTTCCGATCGCGGGCATCTTCACAATATTGTCCATTCAAAATTCATAACTGACCACTGCACATGACAAAGCATTCTAATGAATATTCTGTATATATTAATTACTCTGCTTCAAGGGCGCATGTTACACACAATGGACTGAAATTTGAAAATGACTGAATAGAGGGTGGAAGATGGTCGTGCAGCCCAGGAGCGACATGTGGGCCCCTGTAAATTAGGAAAAGTAGGCTTTGATCTCCTGCCCCAGCATTGGGACGGCCTGAGGAAAAGAACACAAACTTTTAAATAGGAGAATGACTTCCAAGGGCGAGATGTGAACTTGTGTGTGGGTGTGTTTCAGAGAGCTTCGGTGACGAGGCTGTCCGGGTGTGGCGATCAGCGAGATTTCAGGATACTTCAGTCAGAGACAAATTCCAGGGTGATAGTGAACCTTCACCTGCACAAGGGGAGCGAGGCGTCTGTCAGTTCGTACCTCACGATGAACCTCCAGTCAATTAAGGAAGTTTCACGTCGCTTCAGCCCACATGCAGATCCTGTCGTCTTGCAAGACTTGAAATTCAGATTCACAAACATAAACGGAGACAAGGTGTGCCTCTTGGTTCACAGCTCCTCACAACTTCAGTTCTTCACTATGACTGCAATTAGTAAAAAGCAGATTCCGGGAAACCATTATTTTACTAGGGCGCAATTCTGCGCACTAAACACATTTTCCGATGTCACAGTGCTTACCACGTGACAACAAAATTGCAGTTCATCACGATGGTAAATTCTGACATGTGGCGCCGTGCAGTCCGGTAGAATTTCACATTATTTCGGAGGAACAGGGTCCAAGTATAAGACAAGCAAGAAACCAACCCTGAGAACGGCGGAGAGCGGCAGCGCAGCTGTGAATTTCTGCCGGACTACACGGCGTCACAGCTGTGAGAAACTCATTTACAACTAAATTTGCGACCTCAAGGTTGGTTCTGGTGTCAGTAACGTTCTCCATGCAACTCTACTCTTGCTGGAATTGTGGAGAGACTGAAGCTACATGCACACGAAATTACGGAACAGTGTATGACATGAGTTGCTGTACCTCAGTCTGCTGTTACAGCTCTTGTGCAAGGATACAAATCTGTTTATTCTTTCATGTGAATGCTGCAAGATTGCGTGTTTCGTGAGGAAGCAACATGTGACTTAAGAGGAGACAAATCATAAAAATTTCGTACATTTATTAAAGCAAGTGTCACGTAACTTCGAACAAGGCCAAGAGTAACCTTGAATGCGCAGAAGAAAAATTTCAGACAAGGAGGTGGGTTCGAGGGTGTGAGAAGTGACAGGAGGACAGTTGTACAAACAACTGTCACTTCTCACACCCTCGAACCCACCTCCTTGTCTGAAATTTTTCTTCTGCGCATTCAAGGTTACTCTTGGCCTTGTTCGAAGTTACGTGACACTTGCTTTAACTGTGAACAATTGTTTGAATGTCAGACAAAACTATACGGCTACTACAATTGGAATCGAAATGTTTACTCTCATTCGTAAGCAACAATTTAAATTCGCTTGTGTAATGACCATACACTTTCACAAAAGTAAAGGTATTCCTGTAACAGGCCGTGAAGGACCATCAAGTTGTGAGACGTCGAGGCTCCCACATTTCCTAGAAAAGGTGAGGTCAGCCTTACGCGCAGGCCGGCCAGCCGCCCTTTTACCCCATGAAGGTTCCTGGTACTCATTTCTATTAGAGGCTGAGTCTACCCCAGGGACATAGTGCTGCTGGAAGATTAGATCAATTTAAAAATCCAATAACCTGATCGAGGATCCAACCAGCGACCTTCCGGCTTGTAGCATAGTTTCCCCCCGATATACTTGCTGTTCTAGAGTTCTCAGCTGATTCAAGAAAATTCAACTAAAACAAAAGATTGACGATATTCTTCGCCTCCTTGTTTTACTTACTGTTCATACGTGTCTAGGGCAAAATGTGAGTCTTCAATAGATCACGGCGTATAACGTGAGTTATAACAAATCATTTGTTATTTCAAATAGCTGATTCAGTGTTTCTAATTTTGTCTCCTCCAACTGCACTCTCTGCAGGACATGTGCTCCCTGTTTGAGGCGAAGGGTCGGTATTTCCAAGGAGACACTGAAGGAGGGACACGAAACAGAACCTCGTCGGGCAATGAAGACGAAGAACGAGCAGAGGATACATCAAATGCAAACGGGACTGAGCCAGTAGTTTCTAATACAGAAAGGAAACAGTGGGATCTGGAGCTCCTGGGACTACATAATCCCCCTCACCAACCTCTGAGTCCCTACGTTTCAAAGCTCCAAGGTTACGAGAGAAGTTTTCTGCACGTCATGAAACTGAAAGAAACCGTAACTGAAATTGCGAGAGAATTTGAAGCGTCTAAAATGATTTACGAGAGAATGACTTTAGAAAAGGTGTGGGTTGCTGTTCGAATTTGTCGCAAGATGACACTACTTGACTTGCAAAGGGCCGTTGTAAATGTTAATCTGCAGCCACGGACCAACAAGGAGCAGCGCTCAGAAAGGTGAGAAAATAAATGTACAAGATATTTTAGATCAGATATTCCTATCTGAAGTAAAGAGCAACTCATTTTTAAACTTAATACGGTAAACCCTCGCCAATCACTTTAGAGTTAATCTGGATCCAAATATGAAAAATTCTTCTCACAGTTAGTTGGGCACAAACTTTGAAAAGACACGTGGGATTTAGGAGCAAGAGGACTTTCAGTCTGTGTTGAGGGCAGCTGGAGAGACTGAAAATATCCAAGATTGCTTTCAGCTGGATGGAGACCCTAGATTTCAGCTTGTATTGCTTAAAGAAAGGCCCTAATACATTGATATTTTTATACTTTTTCATCAGCACTATCCATGTTATTAAATTTTCTATTTATTAGTTTTCTAAGTTTTGTGTTACTTCATTAATCCGGATGACCCCACAATTAATACGGATTAACGACGGTTTACTGTAGCTCAGATTTTGACCGCCATGTTTCTGGTACTGTATTCAACACTTCAACACTGACTGGCATTAAGATCTAATTCGCGGTGTTGAAAGCGACCGCTTTAAATATTATTCCACAAATATAACTGTACCAATACAATGACGTAATTCTGATGAAGTTTACGAAGGAACTGCAATAATAAATTGTATCCACACTGGCTACTTCAGAAAATCATCACTACTTGTTTACGCTTCAAGTAAGTTTGGATGCATCTGCCACAAATCCCACAAACTGCTGTTATGACGTGCTTTCAGCAAGGTGTACCGCGATGTTCTGGTCATGTGCGGAACCAACCCCGCCTTCCACATCCTGAAGAAGTGGATCGAGCAGAGGGACCTGAGGGGTGAAGACGCTAGCGAAGTAATGGCTGCCGTGCCGTCGCATCTGCAGACGCCAGGCCCTGATATGATCAGAGAGTTCTACGTGAGCATGCCAAGTACAGTATACTTGCAATTGCTGCCATGCCGCCCGTAGCCACGCCACAGTACTGCCCACATGTCCGCCTATGCTAGTCCAACCCACTGCTCCAATAAGCGAGGAGCAGTGTAATTGCGTGCATTATTTCATTGAAGACATTGTCACCAGATTTCGTGACGGTTGTTTCTTCAAAGGAGAGCTTCGCGGGTTTGCACCTGCACGTCTTGTTTGCCTTCCTCGCATATTATGCTCATGTCGGAATCCTTGTTTGCAGTAACGCCGTCTTGTTAGAGCTTATAAAGCTTGTTCTGTGTCATTGTTAAGGGCTGTGCCTTCCCACTCAGTTCTATGTTGTCCAATACAAATTCTTCTCCATTTTCTATTGATTTAAACGCATCTTGGTCTCCAGCACTGCCACACCCTTCAGGTTATCAGCTTGGGGACTTTTGGCGAAACACATTCTGATCAGGGAACATATTTGAATGCCCTCTATCGGCAGACTTTGCGATATCACGTGCCGGGGCGCTGTGAACATGCCACAATATTGTCTCGAACCAAATGCGCTTAAGCTTACGCAGTTCACAGAAATCGAGCCAACCGCAAATGTGAACATGAGTGAGAAAATCACACGTAGTAATTTGTAGCGATGTGTGTTCATTTTTAAACTCTGTTCTGGACGCACTGCACTTAGCTTTAGAGCGTACATATCTCACAGATGTATAGTGCGCGTCATCTCCCCCTCACGCAAGTCTCATTTCTTCTGAGCTTCTCTGCATTTAGCGCTGAAAATTGACATCTTCTGCGATATGAGCCGACGTTTCGGAGGAACGTATTACATCCATTTTTAGATCACTATATAATTTGTATCCCGACTGATAGCTCATTCTGCCTAGCCACCTGCTCTCACTGGTTTCTTGCTCGGCTGATTTCTGACCCAGCAGATGGAGGTGATACGTTACTCCGAAACGTCGGTTCATATAATGACTACACGGCGCTATTTTCATAACTATCGCTGTGAGAATCTCAGATCCTACACATTTAGCACTGTTTATCTTGCGTGTTTACAATGGGGACAAGTAAGAACAGACGGACCAACAGACGCACCGATGACAAGCGAAAGCGTCAGTTCATCACATTCAATTTCGGGGCCTCCCATGTGGGCCAGAGATCTGGGTGAACACGGTGTGGGGTGGTGTGACGTGGCGCTAGTGCCTTACCCCTCTAACATGAAATCGTAATATAAAAACGGTGGATAAATTTTTCGAACTTGTGTGAAATTTGTAATGTTTGGGAACGAGAGTGTCAAATCACAATTCCACTTAAAGATCACGGAGAGCGGATGCTATTAAGGTACGGCTGCAGTACAATCTTCAGGGATTAGAACATGTGTGACATGTTGCGTCCTCTTGAAGAGAATGTCGCTCCCTGCAACTTAACTACGGTTGCCACTGCCGTCGGAAATAATGCAAACTGAGGTGTTGGGCAGAACACCAGGAGGTTCGTAATTTGTAAAGGGCAAGTCACGAAGGGTGAGACAGTGGGAACATGCGTCGCTTTTGAGAAGGGCGAGACATAAAAAGGGTCGGTCGGTGGAGAAGCCTGAAGGGAAGAGACATCTCGGGAAGACCAAGACGTAGATAAATGCAGCAAATTAAAATGGGTGTTAAAGTAATGGAGTTGAAGGGTAGACCACAGACTGGACTCGTCCGTCTCAGGATAAGGGCCGGTGGAGGGCTCTTACGTATACAACACTGAATTTTTGGGTTCCACAAAGAGGGGGAGTTTCTTCACTAGGTGTGTGTCAGTCACCTTCCCCATTGTCAGTAGCAGGACCGCCTCTGTGGTGTAGTGGTCAGAGTTCCTGGCTACAGATCCAGAGGTCCCGGGTTCGATTCCCGGCGCTGCTAGATTTTGTGAGAAGTAGTGATTCTGCAACGGGGTCCAGTGAGGGGTCTAGTGAGGATAATTGAGGACCCACTTGAAAGGAAAAGTAGCGGCTCCGGTCTGGAAGACCGAAATTAACGACCGTGGAGATCTGTTGCGCTGACCACGCGACATCCTCTATCTGCTAAAGTTGGCACTAACTTCGCCGACAAACGGCGATCGCTCGGTCGGTATAGTTTGTATGGTCAGTAGCAAGACGCGCGTAAACAGCAAGTGTTACTTTGCAGGAGCTGGTGAGAAGTTGGGCTGTTCGCGAAGACCAACATCTGAAGATCACCTCTCTTCTTGCGTTTTCCCACCTGCTGCGTACGGCGTGTGTGGAGTGGAGGGTACGTCATGCCCAGTACACATACGAGACGTTCGACGCGACCTGCGAATTGACCCACGCTTCGCACTACATCTCCTGGTACGCGAGCATGCTGCGAGCAGAACCGTCGCTGCTCCGCGTGTACATAGCGGCCCTGGGAAATACGGGTGCGGTCGCAGCCCTTGCTCCTCTGCAAGGCGTTGCAGAAGACATGAGCATGTCTCCTTACCTCAGGGCAACGGCCGTCCTCGCAATGAAGTACCAGGCGCTACGCGTCCCGGAGAAGACGTCGCCGATCCTGCTGTCTCTGTACCATGACGTGGGGCAGCCGGTTGCTGTGCGGGTGGCCGCCGCGGCGCTCTTATTCTACACGAAGCCAGAGCTAGCCTTGCTACAGCGCGTCGCCGTCCTGACTTGGTACGACCCCAGCCTGGCTGTGGCGGCCTTCATCCGCAGTTCCTTCATGTCGCTGGCCAACTCGCAGGATCCCGTCTTCTCAGAGCTGTAAGTGCCCCTCTCTCTACAGAACTGTGTTCGGGGCAGGTTGCCGGCAGCCTTGGCCTAGCTCTTGCTGGTTTCCTCAGTCTCCGCAAAATTTGTATTCTCAACGTCCACAGCGACTTCCGGCGATTCGTAACTGCTTCAGTTGAAACATCATTGCTAAATAACCTAACAATCGTTCATCATCGACCAACCATGTTAGTCAGAAGGTCGGCCAAGGGACATCTGTACCACAGATGACAAAATAAAAATAAGAACACCACCACCAGCAGCAGCAACAACAACAACAATGACAAAAATAGCAATAATAATAATAATAATGATAATAACAGTAGTATCGTCAAAATATGATTATTACCGTTGACTTTCGGCAAAAAATTAGCACCGCGGTATTGACAAATGTTGAGCAACAAATAAAAATTTGTAATGACGGAACGTAGCTAACTAACTAACCACCTAACCAATTTCATGGAGCTGAGCCCTTCTTGAGAAGCCGCCAATTGTGCAGCTACTCAAAAACTTCCCAGGTTCATTACCGTATTCACAAGAGCCCTCCGCTGTTCCCTAGCCTGAGCCAGATTAATCCAGTCCATACAACCCTAATCTATGTGAGATACATTTTATTATTATCCACCCGCCTAGTCTTCTTCTTCCAAGTGGTCTCTTTCCTTCTGGCTTTCCCACCAATATCCTCGATGCATTCATCTTCTTTCCCATTCGTACTACATACCTTGCCCATCTTATCCTCCATGACTTTGTGATTCTAATTGTACTTTGAGAAGAGTACAAGTTATGAAGCTCCTCATTATGCAGTTTTCTGCAACCTCCCGTCACCTCATCTCTCTGCGGACCAAATGTTCTCCTCAACACTCTCAGTCTGTGTTCCTCCCTTATAAATCCTTGGTATCCTTCACCTCACAATCTTCACTGACCGCACGCTCTCTCTAAAAGCTGAAAGATGAAACAATTGTAATTTAGGGCATGCAGTTGCCCTGTTGCTTTGAAATGCGTGGAACTTGGTCCCTGATTTCAGTGGAGGAAGAACATTTTCAGGATAGTGTGGATCATGCTGCTGTAATTAGCCTGAAGGCGGACAAAGCTACGAAATTACACAGCTCTTTGGATTGAATTCCTCTCGGAAAATTTGATCCCGTGTAGCTAGGCAAGAAGTTTCAAACCATTTGCAGGACCTGAAGGACACAATTTAACGTTGTTAGGGCTGCTACATGACAGGGGAGAAGATGGACGGTATATGTAAGGCTCCGATTGAGCTGACAGATCGATATACATCTTCGGTCGACAGATTTGCAGGAAAATTAGGCGCAGACTGGGGGAAAAGCAATAGGAATTGGCTTTGAACATGTGGGACTCCATTAAACCGGCTCAAAATAAGAATGAGTGATGTTTTCTCTTTGTGAATAATATCACGTGTCCGGGGTTCCGTGACTAGTATTAACGGGTTGTGGATTGGATGAATATATTTATTAACAACTTCGTTTAGAATCTCTCGTAATCACAATCAATTATAGCGTTCTCGCCTCTCTAAACACTTCACAAATCACTAGGACACGCTACCCATTTCCTAACAAGGGATTTATCACAGGAATTATCACTTGAAGTTACTATGAAATCTTCCTCAATCACCTTGGACTGCCGACCCTCCAGAACTCAACCCAATTCTCCAGTTCTCACTTTCTAATCTAGCTTAGTTACAAAAATACTCTGTTTTTATAGCCGCCGCACGGACCACATGGAAAACACCTTCTATTAGGGATACGTATTTGCAGCTCCGATGCCTAGCAGTAGGCATGGCACTGACCATATAGAAAACACCTCTTCTGTGTCAGAATTGTTGTGGTCTACAGAGAACACAGCTCCTACAGTTGAGTGTTCGCTGGAACGTGTATACTGAGTCGTTGCCTAGCAATGATCAAATTTCTTTGAAGGTAGTAACTGATTTGTGAGCCCCTGAGTAAGTTTCAGTTTCATCTCCACCGTTTAAGGCTGGCAGTTGTTGCCTAATGAAACGGTTGTTATGCTCAGATCCAGGTATGCGGGCATGGCGCTAGCTCTCGTGAAACCCGTGCCGCTGGGACTGCATATGCCGCATAACTTCCTGTGGTCCAGGGTGGTCAGCGACTTGCAAGATGTCGTCTCCATTCAGCTGTCGCATGAGACAAGTCTGGACGCCACCAACTTCTACTGCCGCTTCACTCAGCGGCTCGGCGGTGTGTCGTGGGTTGCGTTTCAAGTGAGTGCAAACTCCGTCTTCTCTAAGTTGCCACAGAACTCAAGTTCACAATTTCTCTTCAACGAAACTTAGGTTTGTGCATATAATGTATACATTTTCCCGCCTGTCTGTCTATCTCTCTGTACGTACATAATAAAGTACGTCACATACTTTCAAGAAATTATGGATTCTTTCTCCAGTGCGTCAATCAATATTATTTTAACGTAAGTGGACCACGTGGTCTGTCAGATTACCTGGAAGCGTAGACAGATTGGACAATCAGTCCCGCTAGGCCTTTCTATTCCACCAATTAGAACATTCTTTTATAGAACCATGAAGTCCATTGCCGTCACACAAAATCGTATAGCAGTCTGCACACCACAAATTTAAATTACTTCAACCCCTCTGAACCTTCTATACTACAATATTTTTTTGTGATTAGCAGAGTGGCCACATTAACTTCCTGCAAACTTCTGTCCTCTGCCTCTTGCCGCTTGTCACAGTTCTCTGTGCACCGAGGAAACATTCCCATTTACGTGTACTTCGCAGATTCTGTTGTGCATGTGCCGAGATATTCTGGCACTGTCAGCAGAGGGCAGACAGCAACTGGCGGCTTTGCAGATGAAATGTTATTCCCCGAAACACAGCTCACAGGGTCATCTCCACTCACTGAGTCCTTTGCATATTTCCCTGTATTTTGCTTCACTGCTTGCGAAATTTCTACTTGTAAGGCAGTGATCACTCACAGTAAGCGCGATCAAAGGGCCGCGCCATAGCTCAAGCAGTTAGTCGCTGGCTTCCCACAGCGGCGGCCCGGGTTCAATCCCGGGTCTGGTCAAGTGGGATTTGTGGTGGACAAGTGGCGCTGAGGCAGGTTTTCTCCGAGTACTTCGGTTTCCCCTGCCAATCTTCATTCCACCAATTGCTCCACAATCACCCTCACCTATCATCTGGGGCTGGTACAACAGGCCAGAAGTGGCCGCAGTACAAGGGACTTAGTCCCACCCCACTAGCAGTAAAGAAAAAAGTGCGATCAATGCAAGGGCTACCCATTGTTGGCTGGAATCAACAGAATAAATTCAATCGTTATGCAACGGGGATGTAGTTCCTATGGGGGGGGGATACAACTGTTCAGCAGGTCTTCCAACTTCGATTCAGGATTTTACCTATTTCTTAGAATGTAATAATAGTTTTTAGATGGGATTTCTATTTTTAACTAGTAATGGTTGGTGGTAACGGGTTCCGCACTCGTACTCCGACACGTGTGTGGAAAGCACTTCTTTGCTTTATACTGTAAATTCTGAGAGTTTTGTCAGAGAAAATATGGAATGCAAGTTGGTATTCCTGCCGGAACCGGAAGTACATAACGCATGTGATGTGGCCAGGGAGACGTTTTCGTATCCGGTCCAGAGAAGTTCCTGACCATGCTCCGAGAGCTGATCTATCCCAGCGCTGACGTCACACAAGCCAGGCCCGCCATCCAGAACCTGAAAAGGAGCACCAAATGGCTACGAGAGGCCCTCAACATCGCTCCGAGGTCCCTGCCCAAGCTCGAAGGAGACATCCGTGTGCAGTTCGGCAAAATGGCGGAGCTTGTCTTTCCTTTCGACAGCGAGCTGCCGGCCGAATTAGCTAAAGGTAAATTACAGCTGACGGACTAGACGTTCACAACACATGTACACTGACATGCTCGGCCTCTCGACAAAACTCGCATCATTATGGGACACACATGTTCATAACCATCACCAAATAAGCCTTGAATGTGAATCAAACCTGATCCTGTACAACCAGGTGAAACCTCGTAACTTAGACGTGTTTTAATGTATCATCCTTCCATCTTATTCTCGGTCTTCCAAAGGCCCGCTTTCCAAAACATCTTTCCATCAATATCCATTGGGGTATTTTTTTTTTTGTTATTTCCTGTAGGGCTTATCACTTGTATAATCACGTGACATCCGAACCTCTCGTTAGTTTGTTTCTAGACACTTGCACCCGCAACTCAGATTCTGTCTCGCGAGTGAGTGGCAACCCACACTCAATTCCTGCTCTATATCAGTACACAGAATGGCAATTTGCATTCCAGCCGGAAGGAAGTTGCTGGAGCAGATGGAGACCGGAAGGGAGTTCCATTACCAGAAGGTGAACAAGAATGAAATGAGGACTGCGGTCGTTACCGAACTCGGCATTCCAGTGAACTTCCAGCTCTCAGTCCCATGGGCAGTCCGTCTCGAAGGAAGGGCTAACATGAGTATCGAACACAAGACATTCCTCATGGATGTGGACATGATGTGAGTGGACTTTCCTTCTGTTTGCACAGAGTCAAGTGGCCCAGGTCCACACGTCACACTGTACATTCAGTTACCGCCTCTGTCTATTGGTCTAGTCCAAATAATGTTTGAATCGTTGTTGTAGTTTGTGAGGCCTCAGATCCTAATGATTACAATTTATTGTTCACAAAGAATTTAACTTACATTCCCTATTTTGGAAAAGTAAGTTTATGAGCTGGTCTTGTTGGGTCTTCGCCCTATCGTTTCCAGGCAACTGCTTCATAAACACGTTTCTGCGGCAACCAATAGAAGCATTCTTGGTCTTTGTGGTATCATGAGAAAGTAGGCGATTAGTTCTTCACAGAACTTCTTGTTTCATTATTTTCTTCTTTCGAGGCCTGTGAGAGGCTTGCTTACGTTTGTGCATACAGCAGGCTCACGTGACAGCTCTAGCAGACCGAGTTGAAACAAGAAAACTTCTGAAGTGTGGGAAACACAAGGAGCAACACAACATAAACACTAATATGTAAAAATGGTGCTAGTTTTGTCTAAAAGCAGTACTTTCTGAATACAACACATGACATGATGATAGTTGCTTATCATTGTAACTGTCCATATGGTGCTTATTTAATATATTGTCACTTCGTACGTGTGACTATAGGCGAGGTTTGGATTGGTAAATACATTTATTGACCACTCACAGGCCCTAACTACGAATTATTATAACACTATCGCTATATCCACCATTTACAGTTCTCTAGAGCACAGTCTAGTGTTCTCAGTATGTTACTAGACGTTTCCTGGTAACGGCTTCCACAGTGGCTATTCCTCTGCCTCCGACTCAAGTCCTCTCTTCACAGACTCCCGTACAGGATTCACTCTCAACTGAACTAAGGTCGGAATCAAAGTCAGAGTCAGAGTCACTTTACGACTGGCGGTTTTTCGCCAATCAGTTCGTCTTGGCGCCAAGCCCCTTCAGACCCACGACCAATATTTTTTCAGCTCAACAACTGCGGTTATAGTCCTTATATAACATCCTCTCTGACGAGAGGTCGGGTCTGTTGTTTACAATTGCTGCTGCTCCTCGCCAGGGTAGTCATTCTCGTGTTCGAGTCCCTGGGGAGTCTTGACCATATTTTACTGTCTCAGATCCGAGACTCCCCCAACCTAGAGGGTCATGTCCCTGCATTTATATCCCCAAGGGCCAGAGTGGCCCAGTTATACCTCCAGGCACTGGGTTCCCCTTCCGTCGCTTCCTATGACTCGCACGGCTACGGTTGGGGTATTCGAACCCGCCTCCACAAGGGATGAACTAAGCTCCAAACCTCGTCTCGCTTATAACCTCTAGGCACGGACCACGTAGAAAATACAGCTCCATTGTTGTGGTTCAAGGGAACGTGTTTACAGAGTCGTTGCATATCAACGGTCGCTGTTTCCAGCGTCACCGCTTAGCAACGGTTCTATACTTCGCAATATTACTAGCAGTGATAATCGAGTCAGAATCTTAACATGCACAATTCCCAGTCTCTTGTTTTATTTGCCAGGTACACATGTGCCATGTTCTCCGAACTGAGTTTCCACAGCGCATGGGACGAAACTGTGCACATGGCCGCATCCCACGGGGTCACCGTCATCCGAATTCCATCAACAGGAATCAGAGCCGGCCTTTCCGAAACCGGCGCCATGCAACTGGCTCTTGAGACGGCTCAAGCTGAAGATGGCAGCTTCATATTTCAGCACTCGAGCAAGCCCTTCACGTCGCAACACAACATCCTGGACTTCACGATAGCCTCCCGGAGGGAGTCGGCCTCAGTCGTGCACACAAGGAGAAGCACACAGGTCGGACATCCCGACTGACGTAATGGGGCACTTTCCAACACTGACCCTCGCTCCTCAGCCCAGCAAGTGACCACTCGCACACGATACCCGCCACTAGGGCCTGTCCTCACCCCCAAAATGCTCAAAAATGCACTTCCTACTCCTATCGTATCCCTTCATGACCCATTTAAAAGTTATAATCCCATCTTCTCCTGGGTCTTCCAACCTGTCTCTTGTCTACTTGTGTTCATACTACTGCTCCATACGGATTTCTTAGCCCTCCAATGCGTGCCGGTTGCTCCGTCCATCTTATTCTCCTTGATGTAACCATCCTACAGTGAGAATGTGCTCAGTGGCAGTGGCCGCGCGGTCTAAGGCATGAACTGTCTTCGCTCGCTCGAACGCTGGGACCGTGGGTTCGAATCCCACTCGAGGCATGGGTGTCTGTCTGTAGGCCGGCCTTGCGACGGGCTGATCTCCCGTCCAAACCGACTGCATATAGAATCATGTAACTGAAGAAACGGCAAAGGTCCAACGAAGGACTGTATAGCCAGTATGAGATGATAAAGGGTACACAGCGCAACTTGCTTTCAGACATTCTCCGCCTGTTTTCAAAATTATCTGAATTTAAAATGCTCCTAATTCCGTCGCGAATTTCAGCTTCACCACATTTGCAAAGAAAATATATTATATTATTAGTTAGTATTAATTTTAATATTATATTACGATGCTATCCTGCATTCTGATGACGAAACATAAACATGTATTTAGTTATCACTAACGAAAACCGGAAGCTAATGTCCCCAGTTCAATTCTAGTTTGCTACTGCCTTTCTTGAGTTTTCCAATTTGTACGTTCCAAAGCCAAGATCGGTACGGCCTCTTATTCTTTCAGACCTTTCCGAACAAAACATCAATGAGACAAACGTGGACCTTACAGACGTTTCGACATATTCTTATCGCCGTTTCTTGCATAGTCCTTGAGACTTTTGTACATTTCCTCCTGACTGGATCACAGACTTTCTTGAAGCCCATAAGCCCCTGACATACTGCCCTATTTTACTTGCATTTTTATAAAGTTTCTGGTTAATGAAGAGCGCCCGGACAGCGGTTCAAATATTACGCCGAAATCTAAACGATGATCCGAAATAGTTGCATCCACATAGGTAACTGAACTAGACAGGCCAATAGTGGGTAAATACACGAAGTTTGCAAAGCTTATATTCCTTGAAAATTCCACCAATCAGATATATGAACCACAAAATACATCCCTATCACCGCTGTGGCAGTTGTTCCCGACTCAAATGGCATTCATAAACTCGCGGTCTCAGCGCTAACTTCCTAAGTTCTATGTCCTGATCCTGTTTCTCGCTCTGTATACACCGTCACACGAACTTTACTCACTAACGTTACTTTCAGGATATGATTCAAGCTATTTTGGCCAATATTGGGTCATATATGAAACGTTATACAAATAACAACTGGGATTTGAAGTTTAGTTTAGGTCAATAAAAGTCGATATTGGCACGTGTTAATGTGACTCCCGACGGGGTTTGTGATTGGATATTGGATATACTGACCACTTATGCATACTACACGTAATTACGGAGCCATCACTAATCTCCACACTTTATAAATCACCACAGCACACGCTAAGTCTTTTCCAGCTTGCTGTGTCTTCATCAGCCGTTACCTGGTAACAGCTTTCAGAGATTCTCCAGCTTCTGCGCTCAAATCCTCTCTGAAGGGCGGCTCCATTCAAACTGATTCTTTTCTCCACAGCCTCCGCATACAATTGATTTGGTTACCCAGTTGTCTTCCTTACAACTCCTCGGCACGACCCGCGCAGACAACACCATTCCTCTGCTGCCTGTATATCCGTTGCCGCGGAGGATGTTTACCGAACCGTTCCCTAGCAGCGGTTATCTATTCTTGTTTATTAAGAATCTGCTGCCTAGCAACGGACGTGGTTCCGTGTTTGCTTCGCGGCCGTTGTTCGTTAAATACCCGGTGGACAGAATTTTCCATCTAATCGAAACGTTGTGGGAATCTGGAAGAAAATTATCCTTCTCATACCGTACCAACATTAGATCTTCGTAAAGGTAAAGCTATCCCTGTAACAGGCCGTGGAGGCACATAGGGTTGTGAGACGTCGAGGCTCCCACATGTTTAAACAATCGGCTCACAGATGGCGGTGAGGCTGTCAGCCTTGCGCTCCGGGGGGCAGTCCCTTGCCCCCAGGAAGATCCATGATACTTATTTGTGTTACAGGCTAAGTCAATTCCAGTGCCATAGTGCGGCTGGAAGGAATAGAGCAATTGCAAAATGCTAACTTATGCGTTTATACAAGTCTGTGACATGCTCTGTTCCAAGCTCATTGAATTGCTTCGTTCCTGACACGGCCCCTGGTTTCACAACTCACTTTCTCAGGATTCTGTCTCTACTCATTTAGCTGAGGTCACGTAACAATTACTTCAATTGATCTAACAGATTTTATCTTCCTCTGCCAAACCGCAGTTTCTTAGGCCGCTTTTTTCTTAATTCGGTTAGTGGGGGGGGGGAGTCTAAGTGGGTACACTCGGCACGGCGGCCACTGATTGGCCTATTGTAGCCTGCCCCGGGTGATTATGATGATGGAGAATTTGGTGGAATGAAGATTGTCAGGGGAAACCAAGTACTCGGAGAAAACCCGCCCCAGTGCCACTTTGTCCACAACAAATCCCACCTGACCAGACCCGGGATCGAACCCGGACCACCGCAGTGGGAAGCCAGCGACTAACCGCTTGGGCTATGGTGCGGCCTTAGGCTCCTTTACTGCAACTCAAAGAGGACCTACAAATCAGACAGTGTCTTCTCGTCAGGTGAGACCCAAGTACAGTTACGAGTGCAGCTGTCCGACGTTTCGGCTTTCGATATTCAGACTCTATTGCTCCGAGATTGTTGTCTTCATTGCGTCGTCTCATCCATGATCCTGTTTCCGACAGTTGTGTAGCTAGGGAGGTTACGGTCCGTCTGAAGTCGACTGCTGCTCGGCGGGTCACGGGTTTTCACTGAATAAAAAGCAACATTGAAGTCTGTCAAACTCGAGTTTCGCATGGAGAACCACTGTTGGTCCCTGAGTATCGAAGAATAATGAAATCCGTCTTACCCGTGAAACTGACACCGCCCCCCCCCCACTCGGGTTCCTACTGCCCATTTTCAATGCCTACACCCTCCCCAGAGAGGCCCTCTGCCGTCTTTCAAAAACTGGTCGAAGTTTGAAGAAAGAAAGAAACAAACAGAAGCACTCTCTGTGTACAGAAATAAAGACAAGCGCTAGACGAATGGATCGGATACGAATGGATACTCGTCTGCTAGGCTCGGTTCTCGTGTCTGCAGCTCAGAATTCGACCGATAAAATTACAAAGTATCGCGTGTATGCATTCTGAGATGACGCGAGTAACGCAGGGAACAGTGGAAAAATTTTCCCAGCAGTATAATGTCTGCTGTTCCTAATTCCACATCAGAGGAACAATCTTAATGCAATATGTATGTAACTCAGTGGACATAAACAGGCATTACAAACATATGACGCCTGAAAGCCGGAATTGTCCACTGCTAGTCAACGGCTCGCCACGAAACTAACACACGTTCCCGGGGCAACGGAAGACGCGGAATAGTCCATTGCTAGCTAACGGTTCGGTAAGCACGTTCCCGCGGCAACGAATAGATGGAGTTACGTACGAATTCTTCGAGATGCTGAACTATATTCGGTTCACCTCGAACTTACAAGAGGAGAGTTCAGTTCACTTTATGAGAGTTCAATCATTCGGCTTTCGTAAGAGAGTTTGAGCTGTTATAATTGGTTGTAGTTGTGAAGAAGTGCCAATAAATCCAATCATCCAATACACAACCCGTTATTATTCGTCACGGGACCCCGGACACGTGACAATATTTGTTTCGAATCCAGTTCACGGATTTAATGACGCTGAATCAATGTGAAGTGGCACTGAGTGAGGTTGTGACTTGTGCGTGTGTTCTTGGCTGTGCTTTAGAAATGGAATTCGGTGATACCAAATGTAAACGTCAACTACACGACAGAGGGGCCTATCCTTACGCCACTTGCGTGGCTCAGGAACGGGGTCAACATCTTGGGACACGCCATGATGTGGCCTTCGCTTGAAGCCAGCTCCATCGCCGTGCAACTCGATGGACTGCATTCCGTTAATTTTGAGCTTAGGCTCGGTAAGTACCCCAGCTTTACCATTCGAGTAATTTACTGAAAGAAATGACCAAACCTGTGCAAGGAAATCAGAATTGTTTATTCCAGACTCTAATTATCACTCTTTTTCTTGAATTGAAAAATCCGTAAGAAAGGGCTCATCCTTGGGTAATGTAACGATGTTTCTTTTGAAGTTACTGGACGTGTATACGTTTAAAAGACAGAATGACTTTGAATGGCGGAAACAGCGTATAAGGAATCGGTCTCGTGGCATGGCATCCGCCAGGAGCTACTATGGAAAGCGTCAATGTCGGTAGTTATTGTTCAGGCAGAGATTCGAACCTTGGGACTTACGGATACGAAGAAGGAATGTTGTTGACTCAGAGAAGGGGGTTTCTGTACCTTTCATTTGTAAATTTGATCTTGGGTGTAAAACGTTCGTAAATGGGGCCGCTGAATGACTGCATTTAGAGGCAATTTCCACTAAACGTAACGCGTACAAATAAAGAGACATTAGTTCAGTTCGACCGCTTCCCGAGGCGCGTTTTGTTTCGGCTAGCAGTCAGCAACACGTCGCTGGAACTTGAACCAATGTTTATAAGAGTACATTAACAATTTCTTACTGAAGAAGTGCATTTTCTGGTAAAGTACACAGCACAGCAAACGGCGTCTCGGAGGAACACAGCGTCTCTATTCGTCTGGTGGGAGAGCGAGCGAATTAACCTGGGGCGGGGTGAGACTGAGTCCACTGGGTACGCCGGCCACTCATTGGCCTACTGTACCAGCCCCGGGTGATAGATGATGATGAATGTGGAGCAGTCGGTGGAATGAGAATTGTCAGGGGCAACCGAAGTACTCGGAGAAAACGTGCTCCAGTGCCATGTCCATCAAAATTCCACATTGACTGACCTGGGCTCGAACCCAGGCCGTCGAGGAACTTGCTGTGGCGCAACTATGTTGGCGCAGAGGAGACAGGTACCACATTCTGACTCAACTGTCTCTCACAGGTGAAGAACTGTGAGAGACAGTTGTAACGGCTGAAAGTGGGGCCAATAATCCCTCATCTTAAAATTCAAGATGTCGCTTTGTAGTCGACACCGCAGGTTCGAGTTTCCTAATGGAGCATCTAGTTAACTTGCATGGCCATCCCAGTAACCATAAATCCTTGCGGCTTGAAATGGCTGTCCACTCGGAGTTCGAACTGTTTCAGAGAGTGGCAACCAGACTTCGGTGCTTCTTGAAGAGCTCAACAGATCGTCCGTGCAACAGAGCGCCGTGACCACGGAGGCGCCCACCCCACCCAGACAGCTATATTTCTGGTTCTGGAATCGCGCGCGCGCCACGACTGCGAGCCCAGACATCACGGAGACAACAGCCGCTACAAATGCCGAGGCCACAACAGAACAGCAAAGTGCCGAACACACGAGTGTCCCTAACATGGTCGTAGCGAGAGACGATGACGACTACCGTGGGTCCTTCAACGTATCCGTTATAAAACCTTTCTCCCTACAAGTAAACAGAAGTCCTTATAAGTATTTACTCGTCAAAATTCTGGACGGATTGTACGGTAAGTACTGGAAGTAATTCATATGTAAAGTTAAAAGGAAAATCAGGGCATGGCTCAGGCCGCTTCAGCTACGGTGACAGAGCCCGCACTGTCCTTTGCACTGAAGCTGGCTTGACCCCACTGACAGTCTATGCGTTGGTACAAAGAAAATGGTTTCCGCTCTTGCCCAATATAATTCAATTCCAAATGGCATGCACTTACTTTTAAAGGGAAAAAAAGGCCAGAACTACGAGTACAACGACGGAAAGGAAACGAAACTGTGGACTGACTCTTCGGTACTGAGTACATGTTCTATTATGCGGTTTCAGTCTTGTATAATAGTTATAATGTGAAGCAGCTTCATTGTAACGGCATTTCTTGAGTGATCAGTCCGCTGAATTACGTCACAAGGGTTCCAGGAACCTATATTCTTCACTTCACAATAAATGCCACACGACCCATGTTAATATTTCGTTTTCCTCTTGTTTACCGATGTAAATAACTGGCCGAGATCTTCACGTTTCAAATGAGAAAGTTCCGAAGTGTTCAGATTAAATTCCAAAACCGCGAGTGGGACAAATTGACATGAGCTTGGCTTCACATTCTTGTGCTTACAAATTCAGTTTGAGCTATGAACTTGGAGTTTCGTTTCATTTTTAAACATTCGCTGCGTCCACCATTAAAATTAGATTTTTCTTGTTCTAACACAAAAGCACCAACAGCAAAACATTAACAATAAGTTATACACGTATAACATGTCTGTAGCATCGCCTATCTTCTTCGGTTGTCTGAACATTCGTTGCCGTTGTATATATTCTTAACGAGATAAAGGTAATATTGGAGTCAATTTTACCGACCACACAACATATTTTTATTATTATTACACTACATGTTTCGACCTCAAGAGGTCATCCTCAGGTGTACGAACACAGCTGTATAATTACACGCAATCACATTCGTCTTTTCACTTATTCGATCCTGTATCTTATTCAGGCCCACGCTCAATAATATATCAAGCTCCTCTCACAATACACAAGTTAAAATATTATTCTAAATGTCAAAANAAGTGAACGTGAAAGCATAACCAGTGATCTGAATTGAAATTCGATTCACAAATTTTAAATTTTAAACTTAAATTTTAACTTTTGACATTTAGAATAATATTTTAACTCATGTTTTGTGAGAGGAGCTTGATATATTATTGAGCGTGGGCCTGAATAAGATACAGGATCGAATAAGTGAGAAGACGAATGTGATTGCGTGTAATTATACAGCTGTGTTCGTACACCTGAGGATGACCTCTTGAGGTCGAAACATGTAGTGTAATAATAATAAAAATATGTTGTGTGGTCGGTAAAATTGACTCTAATATTGATTAAATACACAACAGGATGCAAGAAACAATTAAAGAGATAAATGTAAAGTTGTTTTTCAGAACTTCGCACGAATTGTTAGTCAGATCTGTGACAATGGCTGACAGCAGCATGCGTCAGAGAACTGCTCCTATACCTAGCCACAAAATTGCAACTGGTTTTCTACTCTTTTCCGATGAAATAAAAAGGTAAAGCTATCCCTGCAACAGGCCACTGAGGCCCATACAGTTATGAGACGTCGAGGCTCCCACATTTTCTAGAAAATCGGCTCACAAATTGAGGTGAGGTTGTCAGTCTTACGCGCCAACCGCCTGTTAGTCATTTCTGTTAAGAGGCTGAGTCGATTCCGGGGTCATAGTGCGGCTGGAAGGATTAGATCAATCGAAAAATCGAATGACCTCATTGGGAAACGAACCCGTGACCTTGCGGCTTGTAGCATAGTGGCTCAACCAACTACGCCACCGCGTGTCCCTCTTTTCGGATCAAGGAAGCCGAATTCTCACTGTTTCAGGTGGGGATGCCTATGTGGTGAGTCTGAACATGGCCATAAATGGAACTCAATCGAGGAAGCTGTCAACATTGTGGACATACGCAGCAGGGCGCAGCGGCAAAGTTCGTCGCTTTGGACTCTTTTTGAAAGAAGAGAAGTGGCAGGTAACGCCAGGAACAGCTGTTTCCGCTAGGGTTCAGAGCTTCCTCCAAATTACGAGTAAAATGCTGTTGCATATGTGCTGTAAACATCCGTTCTTAATTCTTGCGTATGCGCAAAAACGTTGTTTTTGAGGCAAATGGCGCAGAAGCCCTACTTGATAAGTAATTAACACCCATGAATGCTTTCGATCAGTCTGTTGGAGATACACTACGCTGTAGTTTTGCTGAAATGTTTACAGCAGTTAAGGCAGTATGTTTATATAGGGGGTGGGGGGCAGGCAAGTGGCTTTCTTCACATGCCGTCCGCTCCTTGCACCCGGCACCCACTGGGAACTGGGTGAAAGGCTGAGAATCTGTACTCAGAAACTGATGCAGATACTCAGCGTGTATATGCAAAACTTCCGGCGTATGGCGGTAATGTAGACACAATTGCTAGGATTGTTAGTGAAATTTGTGAAGTGTTTGTGCTTGTTTTTGGGGGCCAAACACAGACTCGCCGACTGTTCTAACTGGTAAAACAGAGACTAAAATAAATGTCTTTGTTGCTTAGTAACGCAGTTATGAAATAGGCAATGCCCATTGTTGATCTAATGCGGCATGGAAAAGAATTGGAAGGGGGGGGGGGGTATTTTTGACCAGATCCATTTCAAAAGACAGGTTTCCAAGAAACATTTCCTCTATAAATACCATTTGGAGCACAAGTGTCACTCTGTCAAGGTTAATATCGTAGTATGAATGTTGCTGAATTTTTAAAGTAATTTGGCTGAAGTATTTGTGTATAAATCCGTTTACAATGATGTGTACTTGAAATTCCTGCGAATTTTTGGTAGTAGTTAAATATTACCTAGCGACGTTCCGACGTCTTCATGGCGTCCTGTTTAGGCGCAAGGACACCTTCACTTTTATTTTAATATTTAAGATTTCAGTAGTGGATTTTAAAAATACGTATACTCTGTACCTGAAATTCAGAATCACTTTCAAAAATATGTTTCGGTACAGCATACTTTCTAGAGTGTCTGTTGTTTACGGCTGTTTCAAACTCCAAAAGGGCTGAGGAACCATCCCTTGTGCCGCAGGTGGGCTTCACATCTATCCTCGTGGCATCAGCCATCCCAGTACTGAAGCTCGAGAACGTCATCCGAGCCAACATCACATCCGAGATTCACGCGGACTTGCTGTACAGCAGCGACACTGCGGAACACCAATTCTCGCTGCAGGTACACGGCTATGAGTTCCCGGGTTCTGTCAGCGAGGGCGAGAGAACAAAATATATTACGTATATTCCTGTTTCGCAGACAGTGATGGGGCGCAGCGCTCTGAAGGCAGAGGCCCTAGAAGACGAGTACCTCACAGACAAGTGCATAGACAGGAACCAGGGACCCGAGACTGACATCAGCCCTGACTGCTTACGGGCAGCAATGGATGCCATGTTCCTGGACAGGTACAACGTGACCATAACCTACAAGGGACAGGTAGGTATTCAAGGACACGAGCAGACTATCACTCTGACACTGCTGATCCCTGAAGAAACAGCTGCGCTTTTGTTGTACGTGTCTGGAACCTCTGTGAGGATCTAACGCAATCATTATGGCTTCATTAGAAATTGCTAAGTCGGTTCTCAGCATGTGATGTGAACCCAATTCACCGTACCGGAGATGTCAGAGTTTCCCTTCCACAAAGTTACCTGCCCAAGACCTGCTACGCGGTTACTGATGGTTTAGACAAAGAATAAGATACTAAACCCATACAGAAGACAATTATTGTGTTACTGGGCATTATCCATCGTCCTCTTTCTTCTACTTAATACGTAACAGGATAATGGATAATATCCAAAACAGAGTAATTGTATTAGTATACCGTCGTCACAAATATTTAGATCTTGTAAACCCTGTGAGAGCCGGTCACGGTAGCCGAGCGGTCTAAGGCATGCACTGTCTTCGCTTGCTTGGAAACCGGGATCGTTGGTTCGAATCCCACTCAGGCCATGGATGGTTAGTGTTTGTGTGTGTATGTGGGTTTTTCTGTGTTGCAACGAGCTGATCACCCGCCCAAGGAGTCCTACCGAGTAAACCGAAGTGAAACGGAGAGTTTCGTGGAGGTAGGCAAAGGCCCAAATTGGGGCTGTAGAGCCAAAGGAAAAGAAAACCCTGTAAGATAACAAAATTAGGGTGGGGGGGAGAGAGTAAGAGTAAAGTGCATGACGTCACATCCCCACCCCCGCACCCGTCATGACGTAATTGAGGTCGTAACGTAGCAACCGGTTGGATGGAAAACATTCAGAAGGGACTTAACTTTCGAACCGCTGTATCAGAGATACAGAGCAAGAGAAGTCCTTGTACAGCTTGTACTCATAGCCATATTTAGAGATGAACTGCTGTTTCCAAAATCCAACACAGGGTGATTATAATGGCTTTCATTCAAATGTCATGTTCATCATTTTAATGCCCATGGAAATCTTAGGGTCTGAAACAGTTTTATTCCTCGCAATATGAGAGGGGGAAAGTTGATGTAGGGGGGCATAAGTTACTGAAGATCCTGACGTATTTTTGTGATGGAAACGTGTGCAAAATATTTCAACCCTATCGTTGATATGTGGGAGCGCATCTGCAGCAACGGCTGGGTAGACGCGGTGAAACAGAATCTGAGAATTCAAATTGCTTCAGATGTTTCCTTCATTTAACCACATAACAAATGAAACTCCTGACCCTCGTCACGAGGTACACTCCTCAAATCCCAGCTCGGATATTTCGGGTTCCTGCCCCTTCTTCATAAAAGCCAGTCGTGGGACACAAAGGCTGTTTTTTGGATTACTTGGCTACGACTCAGCTGCAAAAGCTACTGTACAGCATCCTTAATTTGTGTCTGGGGAGTAATATACTTTAACCTGGAAGAAAGCAGTCTTCTTGGATTTGGCACCGTGTATATGTGGTGTTAACCGACGTTTGGGACGAACGTATCGCCTCCATCTTCAGGGTAGAAGGAAAAATATAAGAAATCCGCAAGCGAAGAGACCGTGAGAACCGATCGGTCACTTTAACCTTGTTCGTCACTAAAAGCAAATGTGGTAGGAAGGGTGCCTTAAGACAGGTTATGAGGACAGTTCACTTATTCGGCAGTGAGACGCGACGTCAGGTCTCTCTGACACACTGCAGGCAAACTGGAAAGCTGGCTATGTTTCCCATTATCTATGAATCAGGGATGAAGCGTCTGTGGGTCAAATTGAGGGAGACTTCGACGAGACGTGGGATGAATTTACACCCCTCAGTTCGCGATGAATTTCCACGAATTGCGCACGTTTTTTCCGTGCCTCTGAGTGACGACGAGAATGAAGCAAATCTGGAACAAGGATCCGCTAGAATCCAGGTTCACAGCTTGAGACATCTTTACAGAACATCCCTATCATCCGTTGCCCATAAGCCCACTCCACTTTGCGTAACTTCTGACGTTCATAAAACATGAGTACTAGCTCCTGGGATGTGACACCGTGTAATCTGGTAGAAATTTATCGACGCTTTCGAGGAACGTACTGCCTATATCTTAAAGGTCGAATGTAAGCCAAGCAGACAATTAGGAAGAAACAAGGAGTGAGCTCAACTCCGAAACGTCGGAAAACTATCAGACTGCACATCTCCATATCGCAGGAGACAGCAACCTTCATAGTAACCGACATAGGAACTTCAAATGCAGATTGGTTAGAGCCCAAAACGGGCAATGCTTGCTACAATTCAGTCCAGAACCTTTTGTCTCTTGTCTACTGTCTAAAACGTAAAAATTAGAATATACAAAACTGTAATTTTGCCTGTGGTTCTGTATGGGTGTGAAACTTGGTCTCTGACATTAAGGGAGGAACATAGACTGAGGGTGTTTGAGAACAGGGTGTTGAGGAGAATATTTGGACTGAAGAGGGATGAAGTGACAGGAGGTTGGAGAAGACTGCATAATGAGAAGCTTCATAACTTGTACTCTTCTCCAAGTATAATTAGAATGATCAAGTCAAGGAGGATGAGGGTGGGAGACGAAGACCGTGTATAAGATATTGATGGGAAAGCCAGAAGGAAAGAGATCACTAGGAAGACCAAGACGTAGGTGGGTGGATAATATTAAAATGGATCACAGAAAGGATGGGGTGGTGTGCACTAGATTGATTTGGCTGAGGATGGGGACCAGTGGAGGGCTCTTGTGAACACGGAGATGAGTATTCGGGTTCCATAAAATGCTGGAAAGTTCTTGAATAGCTGCACAACTGGCGGCTTCTCAAGTAGGGCTCAGCTCCATGAAGTCAGGCTGGACTGTGTTCCTTGTTCTCAGAGCACAAGTCTCGGCCCAATCATGATGCAGCACTTCAACTCCCTGCGCTTGTGGTTACTGCCCTACATCACAGACACAGAAGATTCAAAGCGAACGTTTGCGCCCTCGAACACGATCACAGCTCTACTGGAAATATCCCCACGCCTGAACACTCTCAATGCCTGGATACGAACTCCGTCCATGAAGACTGACTTTTCCAGTATTCCTGTGAACCCTCTGGTGACAGAAATTCTGCGCTTCAATCCAGCTGTCAGCTATGCCCGGCGCATCAGAGGAGAATGTGAGTACATTCAGTCCAGTTCAGTCCAGTTCAGTCCATGCCCGAATAAGCCTTTGTCCGCGGAGGTGCTCTGACCCACTTCTCGCGAGCCGCCGCCTCGTGTCTCGACATTCTCATGTAATTATCATAACACTGGGCTTCCCGTTATGAAATTGCCTCCCGTTTGTTACTTGATCTCTCCTAGAATGGCATAACTTCTGAGCAGGTTGTGTCAGGCACCATGGGCACGTCGAGGCAACGCTATAGACTTGCATTCGGGAAGTTCTCGGTTTGAATCGCCTCCAAGAAACAGGTTATCTAGGTTGAGGATTTCATGGTTTTCCTCACTTCATGAAGGCAAATGACGGGGGAGACTCAAACTGGGCCACGTTCATTTTCTTCCAATCTTTCCCCCAGTCACCATGCCTTTAACATCCTACCATAGACGCTAAAAAGATGTTAAATAACGTACATTTCAAAATAAAATAATAGCCTCGTAATAATAGCCTTATACTCGTATTCTGATCTTCAGTTACTCAGATGATAATAGAAACAAGAGGTGTAAGCGTTTCCTGAGACTAATTTCCTCTCTCTTTTTTGGGGGGGGGTTCGTTTCTATTTACCACAGATCTGTCGAAACCTGAAAACAGCATATACAAATATTGTATTCATTTCCGTACACGCGAGACAGATACGTGTCGGGTTTCAGGTCTGTAAGTGTGTAACAGAAACACTTGCTTCCGTTGACTGAATGGGCTCCATCTAGCGGAATCGTTCTTGAAAGGCTAATAGTCGTTCAGCTTGTCAGTAAGTTTCTTGACTTCTGTGGAACAGTCCTGATAACCTACCACTGGACCCAATCCTGTGCCACATGAATACAACCACAACTTCACACTGAAATTTGTAACATTTACTTTTAATATTATCTTCCGATAAAATAAGCCTACGCATGATGTTTGCCAATTAAAAATTTGTTTGTAATTTTATTTATATCCTGCCCACTTAGGTATTTACTGGGAACTGTGTAGATAATCCTACACAGAGATCTATGCAACAACATTAAACGATGTAAGATTTGAGGCTTTCACGGCGGTGACTATGAAGAAAGCAGTCTTCTGGGATTTGGCACCGTGTATATGTGGTGTTAACCGACGTTTCGGAGGAACGTATCGCCTCCATCTTCAGGGTAGAAGAAAAAATATATAAGAAATCTGCAAGCAAAGAGTACCGGTAAAAGCTTTTACCGGTTCTCACGGTCTCTTTGCTTGCAGATTTCTTATATATTTTTTCTTCTACCCTGAAGATGGAGGCGATACGTTCCTCCGAAACGTCGGTTAACACCACATATACACGGTGCCAAATCCCAGAAGACTGCTTTCTTCAACATTAAACGAGTCATACAACCGCAAGGCAATGAATAGAATACAAGAATCTACACACATGCAGAAACAAGAGCCACGTGTTCTCATCTGCATGCACTGCAATGCAAACGATACAGTGTCATACCTTACATCCTTTGCGTGAATTCCTTTATCCCATAAAAATAAATGCACTTCACAATGCCACTTCTCCTTAGTACAAAACTCAAGCACAAACGTCATTTTCACTACTACCAGCCTCTGACCATACGCATGCGCGTCTGTTACCTAGACTGTCGTGAAGCTGGACTGTGCTGCTACCTAGTGATGCACATAGAAAACGTATTACGTCCATTACAGCTGTTTACTTCAATTCGAGTCGTAATTACACACTCTCCCTAGTACAACTAGAGGTAATTTTATAATATTGGGCAAACTGTGTTACATGTTATAATTCTGAAGCAATTTAAAACATTTCCTTTTAACGTATGCCTTGGCCGCGCCATAGCTCAAGCGGTTAGTCGCTGGCTTCCCACCGCGGCGGCCCGGGTTCGATCCCGGGTCTGGTCAAGTGGGATTTGTGGTGGACAAAGTGGCTCTGGGGCGGGTTTTCTCTGAGTACTTCGGTTTCCCCTGCCAATCTTCATTCCACCAAATTCTCCATCATCATAATCACCCGGGGCAAGCTACAATAGGCCAATGAGTGGCCGCCGTGCCTTGTGGACCCAGTTGCCTTTTGAAGATGACCCACATGTAAAGGCAATAAAATAAATTACCACGTATATATTACCCTGGATGGAAGTCTTATTGCGATCATTATATGGAACCAGTTTATGAACTGAATTTCTTCAATTACGTATTTAATATTTCATGACCCCGAAAATGTGGGAAGTGACAGGGGAAGAGGACTGAAATCATGTGACCTGCCGACGCGTGTTGTATTGTCTCTTGTTTAACAGCGTACTGCAGCCACGGAGGGAGCAAGTTCTTCACTTTTGACGGAGTGGAGTTGGACTACAATGTCACCTCTTGCTGGCATCTTCTTGCCAAAGACTGTTCGGGCCACAGCCGATTCGCCGTTCTCATGAGGTCCCTCAATAACCAGGAAACGGTAAACAGATACATCATTCTCGGGGGGGGGGATTTGAACCCAGAATCCCAGGTTCGTTGTGTTTGTGAGCAGTAACTTTACTCAGCATTGGTTTGCCAGGTTACCGGACTTGAACAATGTACAAAATTTGCCTTGGCGTAATTAAAGGAGTGTGCAATTTCTTTATTAAAACCGTCACAACACAACAATATTAAGGTCAGTGCCTAGTTTGGCACTGCTACATGTTTCGGCTATTAAAAACCATCATCATGCAAAATACATGGCTAACATACATACACCACTGAACTGCAGTACTAATAAAACAGAGTCGTTGTTTACATTCCCTACAGAACGGGCAATACTTTGTAAGATGAGACACCGACTAAACAATTAACATTAATATTACTACATCTACATCACGAGCCTCCAAAACAATTTATTATATGTATGCAAAATATAGAATATTCCAATTTGTCCGTAGGAACACAGCAAAATCACAAAAACCAACGACTCTCTCGATGATGTAAAACATCACTCGAAGAATTTTATTCTTGTTATATATTATAACTTTTGTTTTATATAATCTAATTTATTGTATTTTTACGCCAAGTATTTTAATATAATTAATATTATTGTATCCAATTTATTAGTACTGCAGTTCAGTGGTGTATATAGTATGTTAGCCATGTATTTTGCCTGATGATGGCTTTGAATAGCCGAAACATGGAGCAGAACCAAACTTGGCACTGACCTTGATATTGTTGTGTTGCGATGGTTTTAATAAAGAAGCTGTCTATTATAACACAACAGGATGCATGAAATGAAAATGATAAAGGAGTGTGGCTTGCGGGGTCTCAGCTGTTTCCGGCCCTGGCCTAGAGAACACCACGGCAGAACGAGCACCAATCTGACACCTTTCTGCTACCACACTTTACATGCCGAGCACATGATTTATGTACATGAACATCATTTGGAATACCTGAATCAGCTGTAGTCGACAGTAGGTGACGACAGCTGGCCAAGCCCAATTGGGTGAGTGCCGGAGGTCCTTACACTTAGCAGGTACGTGGTTCAAGTCCCGGTCATGCATCTCATCATTCAGACAGGGGACTGCAATATCTTTCCGAAGTCCTGGAGACAATAGCGAGACAGCGTTTCCTTTCGAGCGCGCTATCAGAACATCCTTGCACGTCGCCTAGCCCACAGTTATGCTGATGTGCGTTTGGGACTGCAGGAATCAGAGTAACCTTTGAAGTAACAGGAAGGCCATCACCGTCTGCAGATCGGTGTTGGTGGCAGTTTTCCAATTGGTTTCACGTCTTAAACGTTATATTCAATGGCATACTTCCGTTGTTGTTAGGAACATTCCTTGTTCCACTCAGTTTCTGAAACAAACAGAGGATTTAAATTAATGCAAACATTACGTCCAGGTGGTGTGATGCTTACATAGTGCAGTGCAGTGACCCTCAGAACAGCAAAGCTGACGCGAACATTTGCGTCTTCCCACACCTATACTGTCACATTCAAAGCAAAAATCTTTTCCTAACAAATTTATACATATTATTTTGGCCTGACATTGATGGCATCGTCTACTTCTCTCTCGTGGAAGCATCTGCAATAATAAAAGGAATGTGGCTCACACTGTTGTTCACAAACACCTGAACGGCATTTTCAGGGACAAGAGCTTTCGTTCACAGCCAACTTTTTTAGCATGTATCTGTCAATCAATTACATGTCAAAGAACTTTTCTGCAAATTGGTGCTAAATATATGTGAAATTTGTATTTATACATTAAAGTAAAAAAGTAAAGCTAGCCCATCTAATAGGCCGTGGAGGCCCATAGGGCTGTGAGACGTTGGGACTCCCAGATTTTCTAGACAATCTGCTTACAGATGGCGGTGAGTTTGTCAAACTTACGCGCCGTCTGCCTTTTGCCCCCAAGAAGATTCCTGGTACTCATTTCTGTTAGGGGTTCAGTCGACCTCAGGGCAATAGCGCGGCTGGAAGGATTAGGTGAATTGAAAATGCCAATGTCCTCATCGTGAATCGAACCCGCAAGCTTTCGGCTTGTATGACAGAGCGTCCACAGACTGTGCTACCACCTTCCCCGTAGAGGAGAAGGCGCTAAGTAAAACATGGAGACCTGGCAGGAACATGGTGTAGGATGGGCTGTGCCATGTAGCAAGGAGCTTCACAATTTACATACGTAATTCACCCAGAATTATAAGAATGTTCAGTCCAGAAAACTGAAACTCGTCTGTGCATAAATCTCAAACTGGGGGAGCAATAGGCCTAAGAACGTATTGAATTCGTTTATGAAGTTTTTAGTAGTCCACCTGCAGAAGGACTTGAATGAAACAACTTTATGAGGTTTAACCTATCTTAGATAAAAAGATTTTAAGGTATGAACTGCATAGAAGTGGCTTAGGATAGCAACAAATGCCGGACATAATCAATGTTACACTTACACATGAACTTTAACTCCTCAACCACAATATGTTTGATCGTTCGGCCAAAACTGACCATAGCCAGTTAACAATTATACACAACTGCTAAATTGCAGAAACGCAACTTTGTAGGTTTTTTAGGGTTTTGATTTTCAAGTCGGAACTAAGCGCAAGCTTTGCATATTGCCTGCCAGTCGACAGATTGCAAGAATCTGGCTATCGAATTTCCTCAAGTAACGCTAGCCGATTACATTACAGGAACTGGAAGTGAATATGGACAACTACCTGATACTGCGCCTGCGCCCCGGACTGAACGTGTCAGCAAACGAGAAGCCCGTGGAACTCGCAGGACATGCGGTAGTGCAGATCGCAGACCAAGCGGGAGCGATCCTTGCGCATCTGCAGGCCCGGGATACACCTGAACATGTCATCAGCGTGGCCCTGCCTGCCCACGGCTTCCACATTGTATACACTGGCTCGTCTACACTCGTCATGGTTAGTTACCTTCGGTCACACTGGCCCTAATCAGGACACGGTTTTTCTTACACTGCCTCGGCTTTTATGAATTGTTTTTATTGTTGTCTCTTGATGACCTCCCTTATACACGCCTGTTCATTTCTTAGGTTTTGTGATTGTCAGGTATGTTAAGCAGTAACACATAGGCCTCCTGCTGTGCAGACCTGGGCTCTAAATCTATTACTACCCAAACATGGCCTCATTCCAAGCCTATTCAATCCACCTCACACCCTGAGAATGCAGACTTCCACAAAATATTTTAATATTATCCTACAATCCATGTGTCATTTTCCCTAGGCCAAGCAAGAAGTCTACGCTTTTCTTATCATGGTTATGACACCGTGCAGTCTTGTAGCTTGGGATCAAAGTTTCGGAGCAAAATAGTCATTCCTTCTTCAGGATATGTCCAAGTTTTACCCAGGAAAATAACGACAGCGTGTTCCAAGAGAGCAATGGTACCCAGCTACCAGATTACACGGTATCTTAATCCAGAAGACCGGAATATGGATATTTACTGTCATGAGAACTGCAAGATCCTTATAAATACTTGTTTCTCGTGTGAGATATATGCTCCAGCCAGCTCGAATGTCTCTCAGACCGTGAAAGTGAGAGGGCTCTGATATCGTGACGGCTCTTCCTGCTCAGAATGTAGCACGGGTTTCCTCACTCCGTCCAAGCAAATTTCATAACAATCCTACCCCATGTCAGCGATCTCTGATGCCAGTGCCTGATACGTGTACACAGTTTGTAAGAAACGAGGAACCGCCTTGCACACCCTTAAGTTATGTGTGTGTGCTGTCTCCTTCCTGTGCCAACCGATGCAAACTGCGCTTCGTGACGTCGGTTCTGGTTTCACGTGTACAAATCTGCAGCATTTCTTTATGAGTAAGAGATGTGTTGTTCTGCACTGAACAACAGCTTATTTTTCGTGATAACACTGAAATGTCGGATTATTCTGTTTCCAAATATATTTATGCGCCCAGTTCTAAATTCTACAACTCGGAGAGCTGTATTGCTTTTCCGCCGTGCGTGTGGAAGCAGAGCTATAGATAAATACAGCAGGATGTCTGCTGAAAGCCAGAAATGTGACCCCAGCAGAGACAGCCGTTGCTAGGGAATGACACTGCAAACATTCCCGTTGCTAGGCAATGGCTCAGTAGTCGTCACGTGACCGCCGAAATATACAAACACTAAAAACTGAAGAGACGTTTTCTGTGCGGTCCATGTCCAGGCGAGGAAGTGAGCCCGGGAGCACAGAATCATCCACTGTTGGAAGCCGTTACCAAGCAACGCAGTGTAGACCGTGACTGAGAACACTAGTCTGTGTGTAATAGTGATTTGCAAAGTGCAGTCACGGGTTTTGTGTTAAAGTGTTCAATAAATCCAGTTAGGAATCCAAAACCCGTCTATAGCCACTCTATCACGTGACAATATATAACAGTCTTTTGTCATGTTCTATCTAGACCGATGGAAAGAGCTGCAAAGTAAGCAAAGAACACAAAAGCAAGTGAGCTAGACGTCATGAACTGTTGTCCAATGTTTCAGGCCGACAGAAGCATGAGGGGGCGTCTGTGTGGGATCTGCGGTGACTTCGACGGTCACGCCGTGAAGGAGTTCAGGAAGCCACAAGACACGCAGGCGCACAACGGCCAGGAATACGCTTCTTCATACGCCATCACGGATCAGGCAGAATGTGCGAGTGAGCAAATGAAATAGGAAAGAAATTATTAGTGCAACATGTTGCGCGACTCTGACGCGTCACATTAACATTCACAGGAATCTCTCAGCTGTAGCTGTGTTTCATAAATCCAGACAATAAATTGTTGCTGTCCGCAGATGGCGTGTTTGAGAGTTTCGTTTGACTGAACAGCTGTACAGGTTATTTAGAATCGAAATGGGAAGTGGTGGCCGATTTCAGTTGGCAAAATGAAATGTGTCACTAGATCCGGGTGGGGGGGGCGGGGGGCGGCTCAGTCAAATTGTGGAGCCCCCATCGGTAACCACAAGTCATGTTGACATACTGCGAACTTTCTCCTTCTTATTCCTTAAAATAAATGAAAATACAAAGTCATTTTTTTACCTTTAAAGTAGCAATTCTCCCGGTATAGTCTGTGGATACTACTTCCGTTTTGTGGAGGCCCCCGGGGGACCGACTGCAGAACGTGAAGCGGTAGGAATGGAGTACATGAACAGATGGCTAGGTGATGGTTTGGAAGACGGTCTCTGCCTGCTTGGAAGCATAGTGACCGAATTCTTCTGAAGTGACTAAGGCAAAGCATGTCTATCACCATTACCATCACCACTGGCAAAACAGCCCTTTTCCAGCTATAATCTTCGTTAGAAAAATCTGCCAGATTTTATCAGGTGTTCAGTTTTTGGATTTTTCAACATTTATTTTTAACAGAGCAAGGTCGTCAGCTTTGCATCCAACCCCCAGCCTGGAGGACCAGGTCCCTGTATTTATGCCCCCCCCCTCGTGACAATGTGGCCCAGCTATTCCTGTTCCGTCGCCTTCTATGACTTGCAGGGCTGCGGCGGGGGCGTTCTAACCCACCACAACGAAACGTCACTGGAACTGCCAATTTTTATGGAGAACCGGGTCGTATTTCGCTGGTCGTCTGCTCATGTCTGGAAAACACATTCGGCTTGGACACACAAACCTCTGACGAGACAACCTCTTAGAAAACAGCCACTCCGAAAGTCTGAGAACGCAGTAAAATAACCTACGAGTATTACAGTGTAGATAATAGGCCCACAGATGACGATGAGATTATCAGCCTTACGCGCCGGCCGTCCTTTACCCCCAGGAAGGTTCCTGATCTAGAGGCTGAGTCGACCCCAGGACCATGGTGCGGCTGGAAGGATTAGGACAATTGAAAAATCCAGTGACCCCATCGAGAATCGAACCCGCGACCATCCGGCTTGTAACATAGCGCCTAAAACAAGCGCGATACCGCATGACCCAATTAAAGTGCACCTTAGGCAAGTAGAAGCCAGGATAGAGCAGTCGATGTAGCGATTGCCTAAGGGCTGGAGGACCAAGAGTTCGGAGTTCGAGTCCCGGAAGGGTCAAGAATTTTCTCTTCTCCACAGCGTCCAGACCGTCTCGGGGGTTCACCCAGTTTCCTATCCAATGGGTTCCGGGGGCTCTTTTCCCAGGGATAAAGCGTCAGGGGCGTGAAGCTGACCGCTCACCACCAACTGATGCCGAGGTCAAGGAAACGTGGATCTATACATCCATTATCCAACCGTCTTCATGGCGTAGTGCATAATTAGTTAAGCACAGGTGCAACTTTACAGGTTATGGAAGTCAGTTGTGAGCTCCTGTGAACATGACAATTTCTTGACCAGCTAAGAGACTACTGGCATCTCTACAAGGATTCCGTTCGACGAAGTTAGCCAATTGAATTGACTTCTTTCATAACGTCATAACTACGTAGTATAAGCGTAAAGTGCAGTGTCAAGTCCTGCATCGCTGCAGATCTTCTGGCATGGGAACTGCATTTAACTTGTCTCGGATCCCCAGGTGCGTCGTCCAGATGTTCTCCCATAAAAGAGGCCGGAGGACGGACAGCCCACAAATTCTACCTTCTGCAATTTTAATTTCGCAGCGAGACAAGTAATTACTTGGCAGTTTCTCGTCAGACGAGCTCTGGGCAGGAGGGAGTGGGGGATGGGTTGGAGAGCACTAGTTACGGTAGCTACCATGAAGCTGCGCATGTCCAGTGAACCTCTGCGGAAAGCTCGGACGAGGAAGATCCTGGTAACTGGCTGTCTGCATGTTTTCTAAGCAGAAGGCGGTGCAGTGTTACTGAAGCACACTTTCATTCGGGGTGTACCCAGTTCGACTCTTATTCCGGTCGGTCTCCCAAGGCGATTGCGGCTAGAGAAGCACGACCTATTTCAAAATACTCTCCTTCACTCCCATGTCAATGTGGTCTGCTCTGGTAACCCGCGCATGGAACCAACAACTTCCTTATATGACCTAACAAGCAATCAAACACCGTCAGCCCTTACCAACAGTTTCAGGAAAGTACACTAAATGAGTAGGCACGCGGTAGCGTAGTTGGTCGAGGCACTATGCTACAAGCTGGAAGATCGCGGTTCAATACCCGATGGGATCACTGCATTTTTCAATTGAACTAATCCTTCCAGCCGCACTATGGCCTTGGGGTCGACTCAGCCTCTAACAGAAATGAGTACCAGGAATATTCCTGGGAGTAGACGGCGGCCGGCGCGTAAGGCTGACAACCTCACCGCCATCTGTGAGCCGATTATCTAGAAAATGTGGGAGCCTCGACGTCTCGCAACCCTATTGGCCTCCACGGCCTGTTACGGGAAAGCTTTACCCTTTGCTCTAAAGGACTCGAACTGCGTTCCATAATTTTACTATTCAAATTTACCTTTCTGCTTCATTAATTATTCACTGCTAGATGAAGACGTATGGGGGAGCGGAGATAAGATCCACGCAATACTAACCTCAGCGCTACTTCGAGGTGAGCTATCTGTTTCTAAGCAGAGGAAGCAGCCCCCAGTATCCATGGCCCAGGAGAGCACGTGCTATGCAGATTTGTGGGTGTTGTAACAGTCCTCCAGGCTGTGGCCTAGTTACCATATCACTTAGCTTGGAATGGCGACGCTCCAGTGGGTTTACCTGACGGGGGTGGGCGCAGAGGTCTGCCATTGCGTCCTCCGGGTTGAGACGGGGCATATTCGCAGTGTTGCTACGGTTTCAGTGCTTTCCGTAGAACATGTTCAGCAGCCGGGCAGTCTCTTCTAGTTCAAATTCTATTTTGTCCTCTCACGTCCGTTCCTATTTTTAGAATATATTTTCTTATTTCCTGAGTCACTCCTTTTGGGGGCGAAATTTGAAAAGGTGCAAATGACTATGTGCTGATCGCATTCCTGCAGAGCTAATCCACGAGGATGTGAAACATTAAATTGTCAGGTTCATGAAGCAAGACTTGCCTCAGGGACGGAAGAATTCCATTGCTGTGTCTGTCTGCAAGGACGACAACACCGACAGTAGTAATCAGCAAGAGGAATCAGAGGAATCAGCTTCGTGCAAAAGTGTATCTAACATTATTCTCGATAGCTCAACACACTGTGTAGAAGTTTTTGTATTGCTAGTTGGGTGGGACTAAGTCCCTTGTACTGCGGCCACTTCTGGCCTATTGTACCAGCCCCAGATGATAGGTGAGGGTGATTGTTGAGCAATTGGTAGAATGAAGATTGGCAGGGGAAACCGAAGTACTCGGAGAAAACCTGCCCCAGCGCCACTTTGTCCACCACAAATCCCAATTGACCAGACCCGGGATCGAACCAGGGATCAAACCAGGGATCGAACGCGGGCCGCAGCGGTGGGACGCCAGCGACTAACCGCTTGAGCTATGGCGCGGCCTTTGTGTAGAAGTTACTCTGCATCGTCTCTGCAGGTTTAGATGTATGTTATTTTCTCTTTTCGTCCGATACTGAGAAAACACGTGAGAACAGGGGCGCACAGATTACAAGAATGAAAGTATCATTAATTTAGGAACGAATTATTGTACAATCATCTCGTTGACATAGGAATGAACTAGCTACGTAAAGCTATCACTGTAACAGGCCGTGGAGGCCAATAGGCTTGTGAGATGTCGAGGCTCCCACCTTGTCTAGACAGTCAGCTCACAGATGGTGGTGCGGTTGTCAGCCTTACGCGCCGGCCGTCCGCCCTTTACCCCCAGAAAGATTTCTGGTACTCATTTCTGTTAGAGGCTGAGTCAACCCCAGGGCCAAAGTGCGGCTGGAAGATTAGGTCACTTGAAAATAAACTAGTTACGCTGATCAAAATATGTTTAAATAAAGCCTGCAAAGCCCGTATAGATAAACATTTGTCTGTTATTCAAAATGTTCTCAGACAAGGAGACGCTTATCGCCATTTTCTTTCAACTTTGCTTTGGAATGCGCCATTAGGAGAGTTCACATGTACATTAGCTTCTGGTCTACTCTGATGATGTCAGTTCACTGGATAAAGACGTGTATGGAAGAAAAACACAGAAGACCCATTAGGCGCTACTAACAGAGACAACGCTATGTATATGCTGATGTCTCTTCAGCGGAATAGAGACCGGAATCATAGCTTGAAGACATGTGCTAGATCTTTCGAAAATGTGATAATCGTGAATTTGGGTACAAGGCTAACAAAGAGAAGCGGTACTCACAATGAAATTAGCAGCAGAAATGAATCTGGGAACAAGGCTAACAAAGAGAAGCGGTACTCATAAAGAAATTAACAGCAGAAATGAAACTGGGAATGTCAGAGTCTTTAGTCTTCTCTCCTGCTTCTATAAGCAATGTAAGAGTGAAATAGACGAAATTGTAATTTTGCCTGTGGTTTGGTATGGGTGTGAAGGCAATTCTCCTACAAACAGAGGAAGACTGGCAGTGTTTGACAAGAGCAGTTGTAGAGGAAGTGATGGTAGGCTGGAGAAAGAGGCGCGAAACATGGAAGAAGAGAAATAAATACATGGTATTAAAAGTTTTTGCTGGACAAGTCTGAAGGAAAGTAGCCACTTGGAATAGCTGTATCGCCAAATTCCCTGCTTGTTGGCCGACATCACCACTACAGCCCTCATAGTGACAGCCCAATGGAGTTTTCTCAGTGAACTGTACATTGCATCTAATCAGCGGCAACGGGAGATAGCAGGCAGAGAGTGCGCCAAAACGTCTGCCTCCAGGACATGCGCATCATGTCCTTCACTGAAGGTTGGCTGAAAGGTTCTTATGAACTGTGTTGACGCGTCCTGCGAGTCTCGTTGTGCTGTGTCCTGACCGTCCTGACCACACTGAACCAGAGGCATGTAGCGACAT